GCAATTAATAATAGGTTCGTATTAGTTCTTTAGTATTCGTCTTCACTTTCTTTACGCAGTAGTTGGCGAGTTAAGCGGATAGAACTTTCCAGCACACCTAGTACATTATCAAGAAGGATGAAAGATTGATATATATGTAGAAGTTGTCGGGAAGAAAGTTGATGGAAAGAGGAGAGCTAACAATACTTCTGGAACTTCAACGAAACCGGAAAGTAACAGAGTATATATCATTAATATAAATGTATTAATTGTAACGGATTCGCGTGGGAAACAAACGGCCATCCATCCGGTTTAATGAACGACAGGGAGCGTAGAAAATCGCTAGATCATGTTCTTAGAGCTTTGGACTAGAGGCTCTCGATTAACGTAGAAAATATTTGCTTGGAAGTTTCTGCTCGTGCACAGGATATTAGTCTTACTTTGCTAAATGAAATACGCCGGAAATCTGGTGTGCTTAAAAATGAAACGGCTACTCGTCCCGGATTATCCTCTCTAGGGACAAACGTGCAATTTGTTGGGAACGGAAAAAATACAATTGCGTACGTTGTTTGGGGGAAAGTATTCGCAGGCGACAAATTTAAAATTGATGCAAATTTTAATTATTATACTGATTTCTTTTGACTTATTTTAAGTATAAAAGTTCATTCAAATGTAAGCTAGTAGTGCCAGTTGCCTTAATATGGAATACTTCTCTATACACATATTTCACTTGAGCTCACATAAAACTGATTACATTATTTGGGAAAAAGTATTCGCAGGCGAGAAATTTAAAATTCATGCAAATTTTAATAATTACACTGATTTCATTTGACTTATTTTAAGTATAAAAGTTCATTCAAATATAAACTAGTAGGGTCAGTTGTACTAATATGGAATACCTTTTTTATACACATGTTTCACTTGTTTGCAGAATTATTATAAAAACTTAAGTATTATGAATTTATAAGAAATTTTATTCTCTTTTGAAATTTAAAATGTAATGATGATTTAGAAAGTATTCACTTTTTTTACTGAGATCTTCATTTTACATATTAGGTTTATAGTGCTTATAATATGGAATACTATATTTATATATTAACACTTTCACGTCTGCATGGTTCTCAAAAATTTTCTTTTTTGCCGCCGAAACTTTTTGCAAACTTGTCCATTACAATGTACAAATATAAAACACAAAGTCATTAGAACATAATAAACTTAGCCGCTTTTTATGAAATGATACGTGTAAATAAATGTGATTTATCGAGGTTATTGAAAAAAAAACATCAAAATTTAAAACATTAGGATTTTCAAAATTCTCTTCTGCTTGCCAATGACACCATGTTGGTGTCACTGGACGTGAAAGTATTAATATGTGAATATGTATAATTATATTTGAAGAAATAATCGAGCTAACATAAAGCTGATTACATTATTTGGGAGAAAGTATTCCCAGGCGACAAATTTAAAATTGATGCAAATTTCAATAATTACACCAATTTCATTTGACTTATTTTAAGTATAAAAGTTCATTCAAATGTAAACTAGTAGGGGCAGTTGCACTAATATGGAATAATTTTTTTATAAACATGTTTCATTTGTTTGCAGAATTTTTAAAATAACTTAAATATTATGGATTTATAAGAAATTTTATTCTCTTTTGACTGGTAACAGTCAAATTTAAAATATAATGACGGTGTAGAAAATGTTTACTTTTTTTACTGAGGTCCTCATTTTCCATATTAGGCTCATAGTGCTCGTAATATGGAATACTATATTTATATATTACTATATGAATATACATATATGATTATATTAAATATATTTATATTTATATTTGAAGAAATAATCGAGCTAACATATAGCTGATGCTTTATGTCTTATTATGTATATTAGGTCAAAGATCACTTTGCAAAAATTCAGACTGCGATATTTTCTTCAACGTTCTATTATGAACTGCTTGGGAATTCGGGCATATGCATGCTAGTTGCAACAAATGACAATCGTAATCGACTCCATTCATCGCTAATAGATGCCGAAATCACGATTCTTTAATATTGCGGTGTTACAAATGTGGAACATATTCCATATTACGGCAATTGATCCTATATTCCAGATTAGTAACAAAGGCAACCTGAATTGCCAAACATTTTCATAGAAAAATGGAAGGTGTTTTGCTTGCTCGAAATATCCAACATACTTCTGAGTTTATTTCCCTCGGTATTGAAAAGTAGTTCATTCTAATTAGAAGTTGGTATCTGCTATAAACGAGCAAATTGAAAATACTGTCCCAAACAAATCCCAAACACAGCATAGAAAGCACGTTCGTATTATGAACCAAATCTCAATTGTATAGATAAACGCGTGAAAATTTTGTCGTAATTATTGCAATAATGGGTCACGAGCGACCGAAACGTTACTTTATGGATGTGAATTTCAGGAACGAACAAAATGGCCAGGAAATTCCACCAAAAATTTGTTTACGGCATCCACATATATTCTAAATTGTATTTCCACCTTTACCATCAAAATGTCTGCTTTTATTTCTCAATTTAGAAACTCCGTACGTCCGAATCAATTAAATTTAAAATGATTTATCGATCCGGATAATATTTATTTTTCGCTGTTGGATTGTCACCTCAATTTGTTATTATTAATCATGAACGTCAATTACTCGCGTTTCCGGCGTTTTGAAAAGCAAGCAAGTGTTGATTGACCGATATCGAGACCGATGCTGCTAACGCTTATTTCCATGACCATACGTTATACGTTCAATGTAGAAAATTAAATTTCATCCATTCAATCAAATCGTGAGTAATGAGATTCTTCGTTAAATTGGACGATATGACTCCTTTATCGAGAAATCCTAATGCTTTTTAGGCGAGATACTGACAATCATCAGAAATATAATATATGAAAATACGTAGAGGCAGCTTTTCTTTTAAAACGCGTAATCGAGCTTTTTCAAAGTGCAATACATGACATATTTATTTAATGAAATCTACGTATGGTTGTGTCAGTATTCAAATTGGTTACAAGTATTCTATTAAAATTTTTTAAAGAACGAAAATTAGAAGCTCAAAACGTTTAAAGATAATACCTCGAAAGTTCTGCCGCAACGTAGCTGGCTTTTTTGAAGTTGTAATTGGCCAGCTCGTCAATGTCCTTTTAAAAGTTGCTGCGCTTTATAAGCAGTTTTCGCTTTGTGGAGCTTGGTAAAAGGAATTAGTAAGAGGGATTTTCCGTTGTGTATATTTATTCAGCCCCGTCGCCTCTACGGTGTCCGTCCCGTTAATTTCCTGAAGGATTTCAATAATGAAAATACTTCGCCTAAATAAAAAAAGAGGTTGTATTACGTGCGACTTAATTCTTTCCGGCGTTCCGCTGGAAGCTCATTAATGAGCGCAACTTTTTCAGTTCTTTTCGAGTACGAAGCCGTCATCTTGTTCAATTAATGCTGATGATATTGAAAAATGGATATCGTTGCGAGCAATGTGCATAGTAAACGCGTTAACACGTTCCCGCCGGCATGTACCACCGGTGGTTCATATAAAATTGTCCCATCGGGCGGCGTGTACCACCGGTGGTACAAATGAAGCAACAACATTTATGTTTGTTTTTGTTAAGGAAAAGTGGAAAAAGTTTGTAAATGGACCGAACAATCTTTATTCAACAAATTTATATGATATAATTCTTTATATTGACATATTCCCGCTGTCGCGTGTTAAAGAAACCGATTTTTATGAAGTGTCTTAAAACACGGGAGACATAAAAGTGGCCGATCTTCACAGCTATCACAAAATGTCGAAACGCGTTTGCATTTTCTCGCGGCCACAGAGGCATCGAATTTTTCGGACAATTTTCAGTAGCATTCTCTACAACGTTTACGGACTTGTCTTGCTGAGCCAATATATTTTTCTAAAAAATATTTTCTGTTTCTCCTTGTTTGCACCTGTGGTATTTCTGTAGAATCTAATAATTTTTTAATAATTACTTCCCTAAATTTTAGAATGCTCATATTTTTATTACCCCATTGCGTATGTATACAGTATGCATTAACAATTGCTGTACCGCAAATTAATTGGAGCACAATTTTTCGATACCATTTTATCGTCTTTCTTAGGCAATTATAATAAGACGATAGTTGATCTGATAAATCAACGCCTTTTTTTGCGTTATTGTAATCGAAAACGAGATCTGGTTTATATTGTCCACGTTTTCCTTCAATTAATCTACAAGTATGATTTTTGAAACTTGTTATCATACATACTGCTCTCTTATCGGTCCATTTGAGGAATTTTATTCCCGAACGATTTTTCAAAGAAATTATTTCCCCACGTTTTTGCTTTTTCTTTACTTCTGCTGGTAAAAATTTCCGATTATGCTGCACTGTGCCACAAAAGTATGTATCTTTTTCCAATAGTGATTGCGCTAAAGGTATACCAGAATAATAGCTATCAGCGTATAATACGCGTTCTTCAAATAATAGGCCATTCATGAGTTTGGAAACAACATCATACGCATGCCCATTTCCTGAAGGGTTCATGGTTTTTCCGGTATAAATGTCTAAATCATATTGTATAACCGTTCGGTAAACACAGTTTGTATAATTTTATGCCGTATTTATGGCGTTTCCCTTTAACATACTGGCGGAAATGTAGCCGTCCACGCCATAAAATCATACTTTCGTCTATTACGACAATTTTTCCTGGTTTTACCGTATTTTGTTGTCACAGGAAACCGTTCGTGGTATATCACGAGACGGAATCCGTTAACGGTTCAGCGTTGCACACGTCGTGGTTTGCACACGGCGTGCAATCGCCCTTTTCGGTTAGGGCGATCGTCGATTGTTAAATCGAACCGTTCTTAAGACGAGCACCGTGCCGTGCGTTCATCAGATCGTCGCGAGTTCGCGTCCAGACACAACGTAACAGATCATTATGTGTTTCACCTTATATAATAAAGTCTTCTGCTCGTTATCGTTATATGTGCCTATACTTTCGACCACAGTGCATCTCCTATTGCTATCCCATTAACAATATATTTTTGAATGTCGTAATTATTTCTGACATTATATTTCTAATTTTATTCAACGGATCCTCGGTTCTACTGGTGGTATTATCTGAGAAATGTAAGCATTTCAAAATAGCTAAGAAACGATCGCGATTCATGGTATTCTTTATGCGTTTGTTTCCATATATACTATCTTTAGACCAATACAATCTAATATCTGGCATTTGAACTATTCCCATAATTAATAATATACCCATAAAATCTTTTATCTCGCGTATTGTAACAGGTTCCCAACATTGCTCATGTTTTCTTCTTCTTGCACTGAAGCCACATTGTGTGGCATATTTATTTGTTTCGTCAACCATCAGTTGCAGTATACTGTCGGTCACAAATAATTGGTATAGACTGAAAGGGTCATCGCAATTAACATCTCCTATCAGAAGCTCCGCGTCCCGCGTATGTTCATGTCTTATCGGGCTTTCCTCTATTTCTGATTGTTGAATGGACTGCCATTCTTCCTCTTCACGTTCAACATTCGTATCCAAACTTAGGTTGCTGAATTCATAGCATGAATTATCGAGAAGATTATGTTGCAGCTCTAATTCATCTTCATCTGAAGAGATCTGTCGCGGCCTTTTTCTTCGATAACATATATCAAGGGATTCTTCTGATGAATCATTCGTTTCCACGAAATGCATGGTTGACATTCTAATAATAATAATAATAATTTGAAGGAAATTGAAATTGGAATGGGTTGTAATACACATACATATTTTTAAATATTATATATTACTTACGTATGAACATATAAAAATACGATCACAGTACAATAAAGATAAAACGATAGAAAACTTATTACTGACGTAAATAATAGCTAACAACAATGTAATTGTGTTTTGCGTGTAAGTACAGTGTTTGAATAGGCGATAGAATAAGGCATGAAGCATGAATAAGAGCGCCGTCCCACGGCGAGAAACACAAGTTGCAGCGCCGCCCCACGGCGAGAAACACGAGTTACAGCGCCACCCCACGGCGGGAAGCACAAGTTGCAGCGCCGGCGTGAACGTGTTAAACCACCGTCGGCTGTAGAGTGTTTCGGCCGCGAAGCTACTATGCCCTCTTGCTCTGTAGTGCGCGGACCGTGCGTATTACACAGCTCCGTACTATGTTCCCTTTCCGTTCTCGAAGGACCACCCAAACTGGTGTTTGGGAAATTACCGGTAAACTTGAAGCCCGTTGCTTCAAGGAAGAGCCCGTTGCTCTTTTTAATTACACAAGAATGATTCTAAACTTACGGAGAGTCGACTCGAGGTTGTAAGGCTCGATCAAAAACGAATCTAATCCTAAGACCTAAAGCTACCCTTAACCTAAGCTCGGTTTCCCCTGCCAAGGTGACGAAAACGCGCAGCGCGAACCGGTGGGAGGATTGGTCAAGCCAATCCTCAAAGTTGTCACCTTGGCAGGGCGTTTCCTGCATTTTGCAACATTCCCGCCCACCCTGCTGTCCAGTGTCCAGGTAGACCATGCAGGAGTGAGCGAGAACGCTGCATTATTATTAACATTGGGAATACCCAATGACCGCGAGACCCCGGTGGTCCGCAGCTGTGTGCCAACGCGGGTTTACGATACGTCAATCGCTATTGAGGCAAGGAAGAGCTCCAAGGATTCCAAGTCCCGTGTGGAGTTTGGAGGTTCCTCAATGGCCGTATCCTAATTTATCAAGTAAAAATGTCTTGAAGGCCTAATCCTCAAAAATAGCGGAGAAGTCACGTCCGTATCATAAACCTCGCGATGTTAAGGTTCCTTCAGAATCCTTAACAAGAGGATTCGGGAAATTAATGTTTATAGGCGTTAGCTCGCATCTCAGATTGTGTCTTAGCTCTGTACGTGGATCAATATTTCCTTAGAACACGATTAACGTCTAATTGCCGTTTACCAGCTTAACAGGAGTGTCGTTACGCATTACGATTCACGAATGCATTCGATACTCCATGAATTTAGTTCCACTGCTTCGTTACGCTATTCCAAGATGATGCTATGGGTTCTCAGGCTCGTCGAAACATTTGCAAGATTTCTAACTTTTTTTAGTTTGATAGTGTTTGTCCATGTAAATCAAATTTTTACTCTGTAATTATGATTTCGATTTAGCCGACTTACATTAAATAACTAACTGTGTGTTCGTGTTGGGTCAGTTCAAAATCTGTTTGATTTCGATTAAACTATTCTGTTCCATATACAGAGGTGTTCGGCCACACCTGGGTAAAATTTTAATGGGGAATTCTAGAGGCCAAACTAAGACAAAAATCAAGAATACCAATTTGTTGATTACGGCTATGTTAAAAAGTTATTAACGTTTAAAATTCCGCCAGTAGAACGGCAATCTGCGAACATCTGCTAGTGGTTCTCACTCACAAAACAGTAAGGTCACGTCAATAAGTAGAGCTTCTCATGCTGAGTGAGAACCACTACTATAAGTGAAACTTTAAACGTTAATAATTTTTTAACGAAGCCTCAATCAACAAATTGGTATTCTTGATTTTCGTCTTATTTTGGTCTCTAAAATGTCCCATTCAAATTTCATATGTCGGATAATTGGACTATATCTACATATGAAGTAATGAAAACGAGGAATATAATCATAGATCTTTGGCCCCACATTATATTAGTGATAAAGAATTTTTTTCTCAAAAGTGCGTAGGATTTTGGGATTTTGTCTATTCACCAAAAAAGATTGTAATTATCCCCTACAATTAAAAATAATTTTTCCAGAATGATTTGACATTTTTTAATTTCACCGGAAAATTTGCCCACCTTTCTGATTTTTTTTCTCGAAAATGCGTAGGATTTCGGAGGTATGTGTATTCACCAAAAATGATTACAGTTGACCCCCGCAATCGAAAATAATTTTTCCAGAGTGATTTGAAATTTTCCAATTTCGCCAAAAAATTTCTGCAGCTACCCCTATCAATTTTTCTTAAAAATTCGTTTGTCAATATTCATAAATTTGTTTAACGTTCTACGGAAATTTTGTGTAATACTTTTTGTAGTTGTCTATGAGTTTAACTTCAGAAAAAAGTTTCATTTAAATATATTCACTATTGTTGGAGTTATGGCTGTTTGAAAATTGGACCATTATTATCGGGGTTTTCTCACTTTTTGGGGTTAAGGAAAAACTTTTCGAATATTTTTGGAATTTTTTCATATTCTTCACCGAAATAGACGTCGTTTACGTTTAGAAATATTACAATTCTTCATTCCGTTCAGGAGTTATGATGTTCTAAAGATACGCATGAAATTTCGGGGAGCGATTGCTAGCCTTACATTAGACTTTCGGTAAAGAATTTTTTTCTCGAAAATGCGTAGGATTTTGGGAGTATGTCTATACATAAAAAATGATTGTATTTGACCCCCGCATCTGAAAATATTTTTTTTAGAACGATTTGAAATTTTTTATTTTCGTCTAAAAATTTAATCACCTGTCGATTTTTTTTTAAAATTCGTTTTTCATTTTTAATAAATTTGTTTAACGCTGTACAGAAATGTTGTTTAATACCTTTTTGTAGGTATCCATGAGCTATACTTCGAGACTAAATTTTAATGGGATACGTTCACTATTGTAGGAGATATGGCAGTTTGAAAATTCGACAACTTTTATGGGAATTTTCTCAGTTTGCGGTGTTAAGGAACAACTCCTCGAATATTCTTAGAATTTCTACATATTCTTCACCAAAATTCACGTAGTTTGCAATTTGAAACATTAAAATCTTTCAATCCGTTCAGGAGTTATGATGTTTTAAACATACGCATGAAATTTCAGTAGAACATTTCTTTTTGGTCAGACATTATATTTTCGGTAAAGAATTTCTTTCTCGAAAGTACGTAGGATTTCGAGGGTATATTTATTCACCAAAAATGATTGTAATTGATTCCTACAACTAAAAATAATTTTTCCAGTATGATTTGAAATTTTTTAATTTCGCCGAAAAATTTGTCCACTTTCTATTACAATTATTCGGATAACCGGATATCGGATAATCCAAACACTACTGTACCAATTTTCTTCATTTCCCGATAAACTATTCTTGGAATATAAATTGACACAAAGCAATACCGTATTTATTATCGAGCTGTTAATTGGAGAGAGTAGGTACGAAAGATTTGGAAATAAAACTTTGGTCGTGTTTGGTATGTTTGACCAACTCTAACATACTCATTCAATCTCAAACTCATTTGTGACATAATTTGTTGAAAATAAAATTTGAAAATTTTTTTTTCGAATCTTTAATACGTGGACACACTTAAACAAGCCTGTGCTCTGACCATCACCGAGGTTGGATGGTACGAAGCGGCCCGCACAAACGATTAAAACTTCACATTTTTCCCTTTTATATTCCGCGGAATACGCGATGAACCGGTCTGCGTCTTCCACGATGATCGAACTACGCTTCCTGAAATCCGTAGGATAAGGATTCTGTCGGGAAATATAAAGAGGTTAGGCTTAGTCTCTGCTTGACCTGCTTACGTTAACTCGCTCCATTCACCGCCGAGTTTCACGAGTACTTTGCAAACTTTAGCGCTCTTGTAGGTGTGTTATAAGTATAAGTAGCCGTAAGTAAGTAAGTAAGTAAGTAAGTAAGTAAGTAAGCGAGCGAGCAAGTATGTATACCTTGGTTATGTAAAGCGTTCACCGTGAACTGGATGCTTAAGTCGAGGGCCTTTCGTGTTGCAGATTTACCCAGGTTTGGCGAACCGTTGAAGAACCAGACGGTCTCGGTGGGTCGCGAAGCCATTTTCACCTGCATCGTGGAAAATCTTGGACAATACAAGGTAGGACGCTCACTTTCCACGCTCGAGTACCCCAATTTCCGCGCGTCGTTGCAACCGTCCCGCAATTACATGCGTCGCATTATACGCGCCGGCTACTTTGAATAAATAGTCCGTTCTTGAGCAAAACGAACATTTCTCATCGCGTACCTAGCGCGTTCTACCTCCTTTTAAAGTCGCGTGAACCACTTCCTAATCAACAGCATGCAATAGGATTCTTCTCGGTGTTTCACCGAGGTACTGCATTCGATAAATCAGAGAGTTAATTTCTTCGCGAACAGCTGCTTCCTACGAATACCTAGCCGAACATTGGCAATCTACTTTGGATATTTTCGAAACAATTTTAGGGAACAAGAGGTTCCGATTCTAATTTGTAAATGGCTTGGAGTACAGATTTAAACTAAATATTGTACCTTGTCGTTTACGACACACGTAATTTTATTTTATTTTATAAGAATGTGAAACTAAAAGGAAGGTGGTAGAAATAGGACGATTTTGGACTATGCTGTCAACGAAATTATTAAGGTATGATTTCCATTCCACTTAAAAAATATGAAATACACAATTATTTATCCAGAAAGCGATGGAAAATATAATATTAACTACATACTTTGATATTTTCTTGTTTGTAAGGTGATTTGTCACTAAAATAATCGTTATAAATAATAGAAGGTTAATTCTTTATAATTTAGTGTCAAGTCTATTATAGAAATTACAAAATTATGATTACGTAAGAGTAAGAATCGTCAAACCATGCACCAACATTATGTTCGTAATAAGGAGCAATGTTTAAATGTTTTACTAAAAGGTAATATTATTTGATTTTAAAATATTTAAAAAAATACATATTTCGATATACAGGGTGTAGACATAACTGTCACCATGATTTTTCAGGTACTTCCAATAGTCTGATGAATAAATGTTTCAGACAAGAATTAATCAGTTTCTGGTCAACTACAAATTTAGATACAAAAAATACTAAAGAAAATTTGTTTATTATAAAAAGTCGAGGTCATCTTAATTTTTTAAAAATAGAATTGCATATGTTTTGCTTTATATTATTCTAGCTCGTGTCAAAACGAATTCAACGACCTGGTCTACCAAGACCTTCGGATGACCTTGACCTTAGAAATTCCGTTTGGAATTGTGCTTACAAGAAAATGGTTTATAATTTAAGCCCTTATTCTAAATTAATTGGAATAAAATAATTTTCGATATTAACGTTTCTGTTGATTAAACCTAAATTTCTGAAGTCAAGGTCAACTGAATGTCATGGTATACCAGGTTGTTGAATTCGTCTTGACACGAATTACAATAATATGAAGCAAAAAATATGCAATGTCATTTAAAAAAATGAAAATGATCTTGACTTTCTATAATAAAAAAATTTTCTTTGGCATTTTTTACGTCGAAACTTATAGTTGACCAGAAACTGATTAACTTTTTCTGAAACATTTTTTTATCAGACTATTGGAAGTGTCTAATCAGACTGTTATGTGCCCCACGCTCTATATATGTATAATAATAATATATGAAATATATAATATAAAATGTATATTATTATTGTTATTATATACAGGGTGTTCGGCCACCCCTGAGAAAATTTTAATGTGAGATTCTAGAGGCCAAAATAAGACGAAAATCAAGAATACTAATTTGTTGATGGAGGCTTCGTTAAAAAGTAATTAATGTTTTAATTTTAAAATTAATGTCCGCCTGTACTGAATTTTTTTCTAGGAAGTGCGTAGGATTTCAGGATATGTCTATTTACCAAAAATGCTTGTAATTGACTCCTGTAACTAAATATAATTTTTTTGGTAAGATTTGATATTTTTTAATTTCGTCTAAAAATTTTAGTACCTACTCGAATTTTATTCTCGAAAGTGGATAGGATTTCAGGGGTATGTGTATTCACTAAAAATGATTGTAAATATGTTTTGCAGCGAAAAATAATTTTTTCATAATGATTTGAAATTTTAAAAATTTTAATTTTTTAATAACTGTTTAATGTAGCCTCAGTCAAGAAATTGATATTCTTAATTTTAATCTTATTTTGGTCTCTAAAATCTCCCATTAAAATTTTTTCCAGGGGTAGCCGAACACCATGTATATATACAATAATATACGTCATTCGAACAGTGTTAAATATTTTATGTATATATTATGACTATACTACGGTTTATGCAATTGTACATGATTCTAGGAAATAGATAAAAAGGTGAAACTTAAATAGAAGTTTGTTTCATAACTCGAGGTTCTTAAAAATATATTTTTTATTTTACATATGTGGTATCGGAAATGTAAGGAACTTGTGCGGTGTGAGAACTACCTCGGTATCTAGAGAAAAGCAACTTGTAGGCCAAAACGGATGGGAAAACCCATAGTTCAGCGGGCCCAGTGACGCGGTCGAGGTCCTCTCGAACGTGAGGTTGCGAAGCGCAAGGCGAAGGCAACATGACCATATTTGGCAAAGAAGCTTGAGTGGTGGGGCGAGAGAAAACATTAAAAAGGGATGTTTCGGCCGGAAAAGGGAGATTAAGTTGACAAAAGTTGCCGGAGCAAGTCGTTATAAGTTGTATTAAGTTAAGCGTAGAAATAGCTCGAATAGTTTCGTTTAATTAGTTCCTAGCCATAAGCAATATTAAATAAACATCTTTTATATATATCCCACACATATTTTGCATATGGCATATGTTTGGCACATTTTCTACAAAAACATATGTCGAAACATACTGCATATGTCATATATGTTTAGTGTATTTCTTTTCATAAAATTAATGCTTATATGGACTTTCGAACATCGAGTAATAACTTTCCCATCGTTTCGCGGATAAATAATTTTGTAGTTCATATTCTTTAGGAGGTACAGGATCATACCCTAATAAAATTTTTGGTTGGCAGCATAGTCCAAAATCGACCTATTTCTACCACCCTCCTTTCTTAAGGAAAACCAGATGGTAATCAGTTTAAATCATTCTGCTATTAGTGGACGATGAAAATTAAAAGAAAAAAATTGTTCACAAAGAACAGAATAATCTAAAAACTAGAACACAGGAAATGACGATGAATTAAATTAGAAAGGAATGGTAATGAAGAAAGTAAGAAATATGAGCGCGTCGATTTGGGGGTGAAACGGTCGAATTGGGTTGGTACGTTTGCCCCGATACGTAGGTTGCAAGCTGTAACCTTGAACGGTCCGGTTCCATCAGTTTCTAAAAGAAATTTCACAAAGGGAGGATAGAACGAACGAAAGCGAAGATAGAGAGGGGCTAACAAACGGTGCAAATAAACTCCGTAGCCAGAGATTCGGTGAGAATCCGTATCCGACGCGTATCTCGGCAACTCCATTTAAGCAGAAATAAAATCCCGCGGGGTGTGAGTTCAGCAGTTTGTTAAGCGGTTCTTGGCCCCCTTTTTCCTACCTCCGCCAATACTTTTTATCCGCCTATTCTTTTTTATTCCCCTTTCCTTTCTCTCTTTCCTCCGGAGGCGGAACATCCCTCTTGGAATTCGCCCCCTTTCGATTCCCTAACCCTCTTAGCTTGGTACTCCTTGCGCGGCCCCGACACCGCAAATGTGCGAGTTATAGTTTCACGGATAGAACCGGTCCACGGCGATCGGAATTATGTTTCGACGAATAAAACCACGCATTGTTTTACGCCCCTGCGTCTGTGTATACGTTCCCGTACGCAGCCACACCGAAATGGAATCGATGCATTATCTTTTACGCGGCTGGTCAACGACATACCGCCGGAAATGAAAATACGCGGGACAGGAGAAACGAGAGAAAAACGAGGAAAGCAAGAGGAAAATGAAAACGAGCGCCAGTTTATCCGCACAAAGGGCTGCGCCTCCGATAATCGACGCGATGCCCGCGGCGAAATTAACGTGTTCGTAACTTGCTCCTCCGCGGCTCGTTGAAAGTTCCAGCGGCGTTGTATCGTGCCCTGTCGATACAAATTCGATTAGTTTCTGGAAGTAATTATCCAAGTTAAAATCGTCGTGAAAGAAATCGCGTTCGAAGTGTGCTCGATGGCGGGACGATAATGAGGATCGAATCGTGTGAAATTTCACCCGTACGTTCGGTACGAGGCGTTATTTAGCATTATTGCCTGTAACAAGAAGTCTGTTATTAAAACTAAATTACGCAAGAATGCCCGTTACGTACTAAACGTGGCAAACCTATTATTAACCAGCTATTACACGCGGCTTCCCCGTACTTATGCATGGAAAATTTAGTTAGGACTATGTATTTAAAATTTATACGCGATAAAATACTTCTTCACTTTAATTTTCGACAAATTTCATTTATGAATACTTTTACTGCCAAAGTGTATGTGAAATCTACGTCAGAATTATATCTTGTACATGAAAATTTAAAAAAAAATTACGTGCCTCGATGGGTCAACTGTCCATCACTATTTTTACTAAAAGTATTATGTATTTAAAATTAATAAGCGATAAAATAGTTTTTCGCTTTAATTTTCGACAAACTTCAGTTATAAATACTTCTACTGCAAAAGTTCATATGAAATCTACGTCAAAATTATGTCTTGTAATCGAAAATTTTTTAAAGAATTAAGTGTCTCGATGGGTCAACTGTCCATCACTATTTTTACTAAAAGTACTATGTATTTAAAATTTATACACGATAAAATAATTTCTCCCTTTAATTTTCGACAAATTTAATTTATGAATACTTTTACTACGAAAATGTATGTGAAATCTACGTTAGAATTTGTCTTTTACTTGAAAAATTTTGAAATTAAGTGCCTTGACAGGTCAACTGTCCATCACTATTTTTACTGAAAGTGATTAGATTTATCCCCAATATCGCTGTTAGAATATTCTAGATATTTCTAGCAATCGACGAAACGCAATAAAAAATTTTGCTGTCGCTTGGAAATTTTGAAAAAAGTTATTTTTTTGGCGCGTCACTTTGACAGTGCTGCTTCCTATCAATATTCCTTCTAAAAATGATTTCAGTTTTTAGTTTTGTCGCT